TACAAAGTTATATACAAAAGTGCTCTTTTAGTTCCAACCTTACTTCCTAAGAAGTCCCAGAATCCAACTGAATGGCATGTGCGCTTTAGGGGTAGGAACGGACCGCGGGCTTAAAGTCCTCTTCGAAGGACTTGTACATAATAGGACAAACACAAATAAACAACTATACCAATGTGTGACTCGAATCCACGGCCCCTTGGCTTGTAGTCAGCAGCACTGACCACTAGCCCACCCTCGGCTGTCATGTTAAAATAAATAAAATGTTTACATGTGTATTTTTATAAGAGAAACTATTTTTATTCAAATTTTATGTTCAAGCATGCTTATACTTAATTTAAAAACATTTGGTTTTATGTATATTTCAATAAATACTAATAGCAACGTAATAATATTTTATTTTAAAAGCAAATAAAATATGGCAACTTTACCTACAGTAAATATACAAATACAAAGTATTTTTATATTGCAATATTCATCTGCTAAAATATTTATAATATTCAAATATTTTAATTTTATTAAATATCAGGACGCCTACGAATTTTAATTAAAGGAAATTTCTAAAAGCTTTTTTATTTTTATAGCTTCTGCGCCATCGTCATGCATTAATTAAATTTTGCTATAGCATTTTTTAATTCGTATTTCAAATAACTGTACGCTACAAAAAAAAATTGTCTGCTTTAATTTGACACGTTAATTTCTGATTCTCTCAAACATATTCTAACGCAGAACGAAAGGTATTGAAAATTGGTCTTTTGTTTACGTGCCCACTGACTGAAAGTTACATGATTTTGGAAATCATGATAGGGATAATATTAATTACGATTTAAAATTTTCCGAACACTGCTCTGGGACAATTCGGAATCGCGAGCTGTACTCGTGTGCTACAATGAGGATTAGCAGCCACTGCAGCTAATACAGCAATTTCATTATTTTCTCCAGTGACGCGTTCTTTTTTCGGTTGAACATTTCCGTCTGTAGTAAATTGTTTGAGAGTACGGTGGAATTAAACACGTGTAAGAGCTATATACGGAAAACGCTGAGCACCAGCTACTCCATAAACAAGAACCATTTCAATTTTCTCTTGTACAGTTAAATACTCAAGTAGTATTAACAGCGTAGCGGAAACCGGCCGTTTTGTTTGCGAAATAATCTTCGAACTGACTAAAACGAATTGTTTATTTACGTTATTTCTTTCTTTTGTACGTTTATTTTATGTTTTTTTGCAAAAACATAACATAAAAAAACAAAACGAAAACATAAAAAACACGAAGCGGAGAAATAACAAATACAAAGTATTGTTAAAATAAAAAATGGTATTTAAAAAAAACTACTAAAAATAAATCAATTTAAAAGCAAATTTAATCAAGCACTCCAATAAGTCATAAACGAAGGAAATCACGTTGATCAAGTAGCCCAAAAAGGATGCCTGTTCCCGAGTTACGATAATTTCTTGAAAAGACATTTTTCAGTAATTGAAAAATAAAATTTTAGACTTTTGATTTTGATTATTTGCGATAAAAACTTAGTCTTTTTTATTGCAAACATATTACAGAATCGATTACAGCGCACTGTGGACAAAAAATCGAAAAAACTGATAAGGGTCATTTCAAGCTTTCGGACGGAACAAATCACAAAACTGTCTTTTATTGGGCTATAAATTAAATAAAAAAAACGCATGAAATATTTTATAAAAGTAGACATAATTTTAATAATTGACAGGTGTGGACGGAACAAGATAAATCTTTTTTTGTCCCGTCCACACCTTTCAATTATTAAAATTATCTCTACTTTTATAAATTATTTCTTGCGTTTTTTTTAATTTAATGTATATACTTATGGGCCATTTCAGGCGCGCGAAACGCACGAATTACAAAACTGGCTATAGCCTAATAAAAGAAGAAAATTTTTGACAATTTTGATGCCAAAATATTATATGATAAATTATCTACATTTTTTTTATAAAAACAGTTTTGTAATTCGTGCGTTTCGCGCGCCTGTAATGGCCCATAAGTCGAAAACAAGTTACTATACATATACCATTCCAGTTAAAATAGGTGTAGTGGTAATAGGTATTTTTTAAGAAAAGTTTTTTCGATAGTCTTCAATGGATTGAACAATTACCATCCTGAAAAATGGATTAAACTCCAAAAAGTTAGTTTTTTATATAATCTTAATTCGTGGTAGAATTTTTGATTTTCCAAGATACTGGAAAAAGTTTCAAGAGGAATAATAGAGTTAAAAATACGTATGCTTCATAAGTAAAATTAGCTGCTAAAAACTTCTAATAAAGCTTTGGCATAGTTGCATTTTTTTGTGGAAAAACATTAGTTTTCAGTTTAGAGTGCACACTGCAAAACCGAATTTTGTGGCATAATAATTGCTGTGTACACTATTTGAAATATAACAAAACATATTCTAATAATCAGATATAATTTTATCTGAGAAGGACCCTAGCAGCAAATTTGTAAAACATAAAGGGTAAGGCACAGGAACCAAGGGGTTTTAAAATAACTATAAAAACTATAATTTTTGCTCTAAAAAATAAAATTTCTAGAATAAAATTTGTTAAAAGCATTAAACATACACCATGTGCAAAAAAATAAATCTGGCATATGATAACATAATCATAAAAACTGTAATCTTTTACTTGAAAAAGAAGAACTTTGGTGATATGTTACAAATATTACAAATATTCCCCAACATCAAAACAAAACACAAAGTGCTTAAAGTACTTTTCGCCAGTGATGTTAGCATCTTCAGAAGAGTGCAGCAACTTTGTTGTTCCTGCTTTGAAGCGCAGGTTACATGTTTCTGGACCAAACCAAGATTTATAAGCCTGGCAAGTCTATGAAGCTAATAGTTTCGGCCATCGGTTCACCGACTTATAAATTAGCTAAATGGTTAACAAATGAATTTAATAACCTCTCTGTTAAGCAACCTAGTATTTCAGTTAAAACCTCAATGGAGTTTATCGAGAAAGTCAAAAGTGTTATTAGTTTTATTTGATGTTAGTTTTCTTTTGGTTAAATGCTATAGAGCATTTAACCAACATATAAGGTTCCAAGGAATATTTTTAGGGCAAACAATAAAGTTTTTATAATTACTTTTAAACCACTTGGTCTCTGTGCCTCACCCAATCTAGATCAGTGAGACCATAATAAAAATATGTGTCTTATGAGTGTGACTACATTTAGTATATCTGGTAGTTTTTCAAGATAATTGGGTATTTTGCTAGACTATTAATCTTAAGTACATTTTAGTATTATGGCTTTTTAATGAATATTTAATTATTATTTAATTTTTATTATAAATAACCCCTTATTGCCTGCTGGTTTTGCGGTGAAACCAGTTAACTAAAAATTATTTCCCAGTGATTTATTTTTAGAAAAAGGATACTTATTAACTTTGTTATCAGCCTCATATATAACACATTGCCAAATTTTAGCAATATACAAACTTTTTTTTGAAAAAATGTCCACCATATTGATCTGCGATTTTGTTTTTGATAAAATAAATATCAAATTCTTAAGCAGCGACCTCAAAAACCACAAATTCGAAATTTAAGCGATATCAGAACAATTTTTGTTTGGAAAACCCAGATAGACAAATAGGGCAAAAATAAATTAAAAATTTAGATATGAAATTGTTTTATTCTGCACGTAGTTACGCACACATAATAAAGTTTGTATTGGGAAATCGAATAATGTATGCTCAAAAAGCAACATATTAACATATAACTTTATGTTAATATTAAATAAATACAAAATATATAATAATATATATTTATGATAACATAATGCAAAAATTGTGTTATGATGTGGATGTGTAAACTAAGTTTCTATTAATCGTTAAAAAGTTCAAAAAGTAGGTTTTTAAACGTTGATTGTATGCATAAAATAACTTTATGCGCATTTTCAATCATAACGTATGTACAAAGAATAATGCAATAATAATCTTAGTTAAACACTACAAAATAATATTAATAATGATTATTTTCCTCATTATAATATGAACCAATCAAAAGCCTTGAATTTTCGAATAAATTTCGTTTAAATAAGCGATTTAATCACTAGAACTATTTAACAGCGATTAAATTTTAGCCTCCATATTGGATTTTTGTTTACGATTTTATGGTGTTATAAACAAGTTTTAACAAACATTAAAAAAAAAACAATAAAAAATAAGTTATCTAGTTTACGTAATATCAATTATTACGTAATCTAGACGTATATCACTCAACCTATAAATTTAATCTGTCAAACTATGCTCAGTAAGTTTTTTATTTGATTTTTCTTTTTGGAAAATAGTTTCATGCAAAATAATTAAAAATAAAACCCCTCGACCGCTACGCGGTCTCGTGATTTTATTAAATTATTTTGCATTCAACATTTTCTAACAAAAACCAAACAAAAAACTACTGAGCCTAGTTTAACCGATTAAATTTATAGTTCTCGTGATATAATATATGAGCAAATATCAATTTAAACAATTGAGAAAGTCACATACGGCTTCTAGCATATCCAATCAAATGGCCAAATATTGAGATATAGCAAGAGTTTTATGTTGATTGGCTAAAATTGAGTTTGATACTTTGCTGTCTGGGAATGTCCGCCATATTGGATCGGTCATTTTTGTTTTGAAAAATTAGATAACAAACTCGTAATCAGCAACCCCAAAACATAGACTTTATATTTTGGCCATGTTTTTGCACTTTTTGACCACTGTGCAGCGCCATCTATCAAAAAAATTCTTTAAATTAATAATTTTTCTTATTTTTTTTTCAGCTCATTCATTGGACTGTAAAAACATCCGCGCACAGTGCATGTGGAAAATTTAAGACTTACTTTAACATATCGCGTAGTGAACTTTCTCTAAAAAAATGAACTTTTTCATAGCCAATCGTTTCCCCATAGTGTTAATCAACAAATCGATGGAATCGATAAACGCGATTCTCTAATTTGCGGACACGAAATTAAAGCAAAAACATTAATCTAGGAAAAATGCGGTCTCTCGTTGTCATTTTCGCGTCGATTTGTTTTTGTCACGGATTCCTGCTCGACGGTTCGACCAACTCGTACTCGCAATTCCGCAAATGGGGCGGCGGCACAAACGGCAGCTTGGAGTTCGAATTCAAGACTGACCAACCCAACGGCCTGCTACTTTATACCGACGACGGAGGAACCTATGACTTCTTTGAGATCAAACTTGTGGAAGGAGCTTTAAGGTAAGATAAACCAAACTTTAATTTTTTGTAATAAATGCTTTCAAACGAAGTCGCTTAACACGGTGCTGTTCTGAGAGGTGATTTTTGGACTTTCTGTGAAACCTATTTTTTTTTATATTCTTATTAATTAGGTCATAACTAAAATATTAAGAGCAAAATTAAAAATATTTGACGGTTAATTTTGTTTTAATTGGATGTTTATTAAAAATATGTATGCACACTTTCAATTCTCCAATAATTAGTTTTAATTATTAAAACTTGCGATTTTATTTAAATATTATCATAAATTTTTAAATCAGATTAAAGATTAGTTAATTTCCTAAAAAAAGGTCTATACATTTTTTATATCTTTTACTGTTTTGTTGTAATACACGTTTAAAGTTTTAATTTAAGGATAAATGTATAGTATACATTTATTAAACAATAATTCTAAGGGTGCCTCATTTTATTTAGGGCCGATTTATTCATTTTTGATTTATTTCACGAATAATTTCTTTGGATACTATAGCCAAGACATGAAAGTTATCGGCCCGATAAACTTTACTAAAGATGAATAAACCGGTCCTTAGTTAAATTTCATGAATTTCTTCGTAACTTTTACTACAATTTTTCATTTTAGTTTATAAAAAACACTTTAAAAAACTAAACAAAAATTATAGAATACGTATACTGAAAATGACAATTCAAACGTCAAATAAATTTTTAATAGATCTAAGTTTCATGGCAACCTTTAAGGATATATTAATTAAGGGAACATAAATGTATACGTCAAAGTTAGATTAAAAGTTTGAACGTTTATTGCAACAAAACAGTAAAATAATTAAAAAAAAATGTTAAAAATCTTTTTTTTTAGTTATGCAAATATTAAATATTTAAATTAAATCGCTAGTTTTAATTGGATAATTGAAAGAGTGCATAATATTTTTAATAAACAGCCAATTAAAACAACTCAAACCGTCAAACTTTTTTTATTTTGCTCTTAAAATTTTAGTTATGACCTAATTAACAAGAATATAAAAAAAAATTTGGTTTTACAGAAAGTCCAAAAATCACCTCTCAGAACAGCACCGTGTTAAAGGATGTAAAAATACTAAATTTTGTTTTGAAAAATTTTGGAAAAAGTTTTTTTAACAAAAACGAATGTTAATTTATCTTCCTTGATAATCCTATGTTAAAAATAAATAATATTGTTTAAATTAAAGGATCTAAAAGAAAATAATCAGAATTTAAATCAAAACCAAAAAATAAAAATGCGCTACCAATTAGTTTATCCCGATTTTTAACTCCCATGAACCCATGTAAACCAATTTAACACGATTAAATATATTAAATAAGAAATCAATCATACCATTCGTAAAACTTTCTTTTGTAGAATAACAAAAACCAATAATAAACTAAAAAAGTTTGAGCTTGAAATGAAATATTTTGAAAAAGTTTATGAACATTAGACTGGGCCAAAAAATCGACTATTTTTTTTTTTGGAAAGTATATCGAAAATATTGTTTGGGGAGACAAAAAAAAATTATGGTGAAAGTTTGAGTCCATAATATTAATATTAAGAGGTCTATCATCGCAATTTTAGATTTTTTTTTCCTGAGCGAGTTTTTGTCTCAGAACTCCCAAATCATTGAGTTTAACAAAATTGACTTAAGAATATTTTTTGAAGAAAATTGAATGCTCTACAAAAAAGGTTTAATTGGAATTTCCCGTCAGATGAACCCAATCATGCCTTAAAAATTGGTATAGTTTTACAATTTGATCTTTTAACTTTGGAATTTTGTAATTCAAGTAAAAATCAGTACCCTGAAAAAAAAAAACGATAAATATTCTTATGGGAAATCAAATGCTCTACAAAAAATGTTAAGAGGCTTTTTTGTAAAGCATTTGATTTCCCATAAGAATATTTATCGTTTTTTTTTTCAGGGTACTGATTTTTACTTGAATTACAAAATTCCAAAGTCAAAAGATCAAAATGTAAAACTATACCAATTTTTAAGGAAACGGTTCATCTGACGAAAAATTTCACTTTAACCTTTTTGTAGAGCATTTAATTTTCTTAAAAAAATATGTTTAAGTCAATTTTGTTAAACTCAATGGTTTGGGTGTTCTGAGCCTAAAACTTGCTGCTGATAGACCTCTTAATATTAATATTATGGACTCAAACTTTCACAATAATTTTTTTTTGTCACCCCAAACCATATTTTCGATATACTTTTCAAAAAAAAATATAGTTGTTTTTTTTTTGGCCTAGTCTAATGAATATATCTCCTATAAACACTTTTTAATTTTATTAAAACCCCATTAATAAAAACCATAAAACATCAAAACATTAAAAACTATAAATTTCACACTTTTAATAATTAATATCTTTAAAACAATCCCAAAAGGCTGATAGTTTTGGAGTTATGTAGAGGTGCATATTGCTGAAATCACAATTTCATAATCTATTCGAATCTCCAAAAAAAGAGAGGGGTACAAATTTCAAAAATGGGATATTACGTCAGAGATTCTACAGAAATGGCGGAAAATATGAAAATTGTACATCAAAATGTGCGTAATTATAAAGCAAAATATACCTGTCCAAGGATTTTTTTGAGAAAAAAAAGGCGAAATTTTGTATAATTATAATTGATTTAGTTGCAATTTATTTGCAATTAAAGCAATTGAAGAGCAACTAAACGAGAAACGTAGGATAATATAGTTTAACGACATTTAAAAAAAAATCGAAAAACCAAAGGAAAATTTTCTGCAATTTCCCTATTTTTTCCATTTACCGCGCCGTGTCAAAGTATAATTATTCGTTGTTTCATACATTCATCTTGCACATCCAAATAAAGAAATAGGAAAATGAACTCTAAACGTTTTTGCACCTATACATTAATCTACGGTTTGCTTACGGTTTAATCAAAATATCCGCAAGGAGAAAAATCTCAGTTAAAGATCGTAAGTCGACCGTACTTTTTAAAACAGGACCATACTTTCGCGATTTCACATATATATATACAGTGTGGCCCATTTAAGATGGAAACACCCCCGTAACTTTTTTATTTTTTACTCGATTTTAATGAACAACGGCTCAAAAGATAGAGAATAAAAAACTCTATCTAAGCAATAAAAATATTATTAATGTCACTTGACAGATGCCTACTATAACATTTTTTCTATGTCAAAATTCGGAAAAAATTATTAGGGTCGTTATTTCGAAAAAAAAAATAAAAGTACGCCACTGAATGCGGCATGCTTTAAAATGGGTACAAACCAAATTTCATTAAAAACGAACATTCAAACTATTTTAGGCAACGAAAAGTAAAACACATTTATTAGGTTTAGGAGAAAAATAAGTACGCTACTGAACGCGGCATACTTCAGAATGGGTACAAACTTAATTTTATCAAAAATTAACTATTAATAAATATTTCAGACAATTTTATTTTACCACGTTATAAACATAATTTGATACAAAACAAAAAACTAAGATGGCCATTCTGAAAATTTATAAAATAGTATGCCGCGTTCAGTGGCGTACTTATTTTTCTCCTAAATGTGTTTTATTTTTCGTTATAAATATTAAAAAAAAAACTGTCTAAAATAGTCATTTATTGTACGTTTTTAATGAAATTTGGTTTGTACCCATTTTGAAGCATGCCGCATTCTGTGGCGTACTTATTTTTTTTTTTTCGAAAAAACGACCCTAATAATTTTTTCCGAATTTTGACATAGACAAAATGTTATAGTAGGCATCTGTCAAGTAACATTGAAAATATAGCTTAGAGTTTTTTATTCTCTATCTTTTGAGCCTTTGTTCATTAAAATCGAGTAACAAATAAAAAAGTTACGGGGGTGTTTCCATCTTAAATGGGCCACACTGTAGATAAAATAAAAAAATTTATTATTAAAAATATGATGATAATTATGAATTATAAATTATAATTCATAATTATCATAATGTATAATTGTGATTTTGATATTTTCACTTTCTCATAGCAAGTATACTATAGTACTGTCATCACTAACACTGAACATGTTTTAATCGTTTTAAATAACAAATTATAACTTTATTTTAGAAATAAACGGACTCTGGGAATACCGCGAAACGTGTTTGATATGAGTTTGTCACTAGCGGCAGTTATTAAAAACTGGGATGATAGAATTCATAAATTACAGAATACTACTATATGTAGATTAAATGCCCCAGATATGGCGCTAAAGTCAGACGAAATCATAATAATATTATATATAATTAAATCGCTTTAAATAAGATTATGGAAAATTTAATAAAGTATTTGGGCTATTTTGATATTTTTTCCTGCAAATAAACATTAAAATACCGTACTTGGGGGTAATTTATATAAAAATACCGTAAAAGTACTGTCAAGACCGTACCATTGGCAACCCTGGTGCAGCGTGACCTAAAATTGGTTATAACCGACACGATGCTAAAAAAAATTGTTTAATTCGAAGGACTCTTTACTTTAAACTAAAAAAAATTGCTTGATTTTCAAAATAGAGATTTAGTCCAGGAAACAAAGGTTGTTGAAGGAAAACTTGATGGTAGTCGGGTTTTATTTTTTTTATGTAGTCAGGGGTGCTGATAATAAATCAAGAATATTCCCCAAAAATTTCTTTCCGCGTCCCCTAATTTAATTCCTAGAAAGGGGAGTTTTTTGCTTTTTGGCTAACCGTGCATTTTTTCAGAATTTGACCTCTAATACTTTTGTACTAAATAAGGGACACGTTAAACCCCATTGCTCACCTAAATGATGTGTCCCTTTGCTATGCGCAGTGGAGTTTTTTTGCTTTTTGGTTCATACCTCGCTAACCGTGAATTTTTTCGGAATTTGACCTCTAATACTTTTGATTATGTACTAAATAAGGCACACGTTATGATGTGCCCTTATGCTATGCGCAGTTTGCAAAGTTGAGCGTTGCTTTCAAAATCACTTTTTTGTTTTTTTTGTTATAGCCCAATTTTAAATGTAATCGATCCCAAACCCATATACCTATAACTAGTTATAGCCTATAACTATAACTTATAGGTATATGCCCAAACCTTACGGTAATCAAACATAACCGAATGGACCATTTTCTGAGGTACTAGACTTTTTTCAAAACTTACTGCTTTTCAATGTACAGGGGGTTCTTTTTTCAAAACTTTAATTTTTGTCGGGCACTAGCAATGAAAATAGTTTAAAAAAAAACTACGGATTCGTTACGAGGATAAGTGTACCTAAAAATCTAGGGTAGAACGAACTGGCTCATTAAAGCCTTTTGGGAAATAAAAAATGGGTTTTTTGAAAAAAACCCCCTGTACATTGAAAAAAGTCTAGTACCTCAAAAAATTGTCCATTCGGTTATGTTTGATTACCGTAAGGTTTGGGTTAGATTACTTTTAAAATTGGGCTATAATAAAAAAAACAAAACAGTGATTTAAAAGCAACGCTCAACTTTGCAAACTGCGCATAGCATAAGGGCACATCATAACGTGTGCCTTATTTAGTACATAATCAAAAGTATTAGAGGTCAAATTTCGAAAAAATTCACGATTAGCGAGTTATGAACCAAAAAGCAAAAAACTCCCCTTTCGGGGGATGAAATTAGGGGACGCGGAAAGAAATTTTTGGGGAATATTCTTGATTCATTATCAGCACCCCTGACTACGTTAAAAAATTAAAACCCGACTACCATCGAGTTTTAATTCTACAACCTTTGTTCCCTGGACTAATTAAAACTCGGTGATTTTCTTATTCCGCAACAAATATTTTTCTAAGCTTCCAAATATTTCTTTCAATCTAAACTGCGCACCACTCAATGTGTCGCGACCAAAAAGTTCGATCTTTTTTAAAACGACATAACTTTTTTGTTTCTTGAACGATTTAATTTTGGTTTGTGATGTCTGCTAGCCTCATCCTCTGGCAATTTATGCTATAGATATGAAGCTCACGGTTGGTCAAGTAAACTTCCTACAGGGTGATATGTTAAACGGTGAAAAATTTCAATAACTTTATCCAATCCCCGTTTGTAAAAAAAATATTTTTTTTTTCGTTTTTACTTTGATCTAATGAAGTATTATGTGTTACCTTGAAACGTTTTTCAAATTTTTCGAATTGGAATCTTAGCAACGAAACTATGATTTTTTTTTTCAAAAGAGTACATTTAAGGCTTTTTTTAGGCAATACACTAAGTTTTTTTAGGAACAAGAAAATAAAATGGTGAAAGATTGTTCCTTAAATAATTCTGAACAAGCGACAAGCAACAAACTTCCATTATTTTCAGAGGGCCTAAGCTAAGACCACTTTTTGAAAATGATATTTTTGTGAAAGTTTGTAAAAACTAAACCTAAACCGATATTTACTTTCGTAAAATGTTTTCTTCATAATTTTGACCTCCTGATTGTGATTCAGTTGTCAAATTTAAGTTTCAGATAAAACCAAAATCACTAAGAATCAAGATTCAAAAACAATTCCCGGCTGTTAAACGTGTCAATAAAATCCGATTGCTGGTTTTTAGTGTTTTTTTACATATCGTAAATGAGTATTTAAGGGACCACCATATTGAGAAAATGAATTGGCCACCTTTGTCTCCGGATATGAATCCTATTGAGCATGTGTGGAGCAGGATAAAATTGAAGATGAAAGAGAGGTAAGGAGGCATGGAAAATTTGGATGATTTGGTAAAGGCTATTCAGGAAGAATGGGGTACCCCAGAAATTTCTAAGGAACTTGGTCGAGGGAATGCCCAGGAGGGTTAACGAATTATTATGGCTTAGGGGAGGGCCAACGAAATATTGAAGGGTATTATTGTTATTGTTTGTTACATTTTTCTGTTGAATGTTGAAGTTTTGATGATGATCATATCTACGCATACAATTTTCAAAAATGAACAAAAATATTTTTATTTAACTTTATTATAAATTAGGTTGGTACTTATCAATGATGTTATCACTACTGCGCAATGTATATGTAAGTTATGTAACATTATCCTAACCACTCAAACAAATTGCAGTAATTTCGCCCAAAAAATGAATACCCAAATGGCATTTTCATCATAAATATGCAAGAAACACGACAGCAATCGGATTTTATTAAGACATTTAACAACAGGGAATTGTTTTCGAATTTTGATTCTTGATGATTTTGGTTTTATCTGAATAAAAAAATTTGACAACTGAATCACAATCAGGAGGTCAAAATTATAAAGAAAACATGTCACGAACGTAAATATCGGTTCAAGTTTAGTTTTCGCAAATTTTCACCAAAATGTCATTTTGAAAAAGTGGTCTTTGCTTAGGCCCCTTTAAAAATAATGGAAGTTTGTTGCTTGTCGCTTGTTCAGAATTAATTAAGGAACAATCTTTTACCATCTTATTTTCTTGTTCTTAAAAAGACTGAATATATTGCCTACCAAAAAGCCTTAAATGTACTCTTTTGGAAAAAATTATATTTTCTTTGCTAAGATACCAATTCGAAAAGTTTGAAAAATGTTTCAAGGCAACACATAATACTTCATTATTTCAAAGTAAAAACGAAAAAAAAATTATTGTTTTACATATCACCCTGTAGGAAATTTACTTGAAGAACCGTATGCTTAATATCTATAGCATGAATTGCCAGAGGATGGGGTTAGCAGACATCACAGACCAAAATAAAATCGTTCAAGAAACAAAAAAGTTATGTCGTTTTGAAAAAGGACGAACTTTTTGGTCGCGACACATTGAGTGGTGCGCAGTTTATTTATATATGTTTCTATTCTTTCAGATTACGTTATAATCTAGGCGGCGGCGCTCAGATAATAACAGTAGGCCGGAGCCTAAACGATGGCCATTGGCACAAAGTGCACGTGCAGCGTCACGAAGAGCGCACCATCTTGACGGTGGACGGCGTCAATCAGATGCGAACTTCGCGCGGCAAAGAGTTCAATTTCGGGCGGTTTTCCACGAACTCGGACGTGTTCGTGGGCGGTATGCCCACGTGGTACAACACCAAGTTGACCCTGTTGGCGCTGCCCAGCGTGATTTTCGAGCCGCGCTACCTTGGATCCGTGAGAAATTTGATTTATCCTGATGTGGAGGGAGGGGCACCCAGAAGGCAGGAGACCAGGCCCAAGGATCACAGGGTAAGTTTCAAGTTGTTTTGGTATGCTCATTCTAGAAACTATATACAGGATGGTAAACTGTTTTTAAAAGGTTTTTAAAGCAAAGGTACATTTGATGGTTTTGGAAATTTTTTTTTTAAATTTGTGTATGTGGTAGAAGATAATAAACTTAAATAAAGGGTTGTAAATCTTGATTAAATGTAAGTATAAGTTTTATTAGTTGAGAAAATGTAAATATAAATATTTACATATGGGTCATTCCTTATCAAATCACCAAATTTAAAAAATTGAATTTTTTGATTCTGTTAAATGTTGATATGTTTTTAACGTATCAAAAGACGACTAACCCTAAATTGAGCCCTTAATTTTCAAAAGCCCTGAAACCTTAAATTATCGTCAAAATTTAAGTTAGAAAAGAAAAAACAGTGAAAAAAACTTTTGGTTTTTATATATTTTTTAAAAAAACTGCATTTCAAACCGAAGAAAATAGCCACCGGTCAAATGAGGTTACGACAATTTAAGCAGGAGTTATGAATTTCTGAAAATTACTGTGTCGTTATTTTTTTGCGATTTTCAAAAATTCATATCTTCGGGGCTTTTGAAAATTAAGGGCTCAAAATTTAGGGTTAGGAGTCTTTTAATACGTACAAAAACATATCAAAACTTTAACTGAATCAAAAAATACAATTAAAATTTGGTGATATGATATGGAAAGACCCATATATATTAGGGTGCTTCATTTTAGAGCAACATTTTTTTGTTTCAAGTCCCACCTCAAAATCTTGTAGTAGATCCAAAAACAAAAAATTTGAGCATTTTTTGAGCTCTTAATTATAATTTTAAGCCATTGCTCAACAGTGTTGAAGATTTTCCATTCAAATAACATTATAAATCCATTTTTTACCATTTTTATCTTCCGCTCACCACGAAGGAATTTTATTTACGAATTTTGGCTCAAGGAATCTTATGAAGGACTAAATCGTCTACGTAAAAGCCCATAGAGCCGAGTCTGTAAGTCGAATATCTTCTTTACAAATCGCTCTTTAAATTGAAAATGTTATAAAAATAACAGTAAATCGTAATTATTTGCTAAACTATTGATGATAGAAAAAAAAAAACGTTAATGGCAATTTTGTAGGGAATTTTATGACAACTTTGTTTTGAAAATTTTTTCGTATCACAAATAGTTAAACGACTGCAGCCTCTGAAAATGTAAAATGTCTTAAAATTTCTATTCTAACCTATGTATATTAGGGTGCTTCATTTTAGAGCGACATTTTTTTCAAAGTCCCACCTAAAAATCTTGTAACCGGTTAGATAACAAAAATTTTTAGCTATTACAAAGCTCTTAATTTTTATTTTAAGCCGTTGCTATTCCATTTTTAAATATTTCCCTTTAAAAACCATTAAAAAACAATGTTTTATTCTATTTTCTTCTGCTCGTACAGTAAGAATATTTTATTCGAATTTCTGTTCTAAAATCTTTATACAGGATGAAATTATCTTCAAAAATGTCCATTTAAGCAAGTCTGTAAGTTGAATATGTTCTTCACAAATTGCCGTTCTACTCGAAAATCTTCTAAAATAGCAGTAAATCGTATTTGAAGACTAAACTATTGATTGTTGATAAAAAACGTAAATGACAATTTTGTAGGGAATTTTTTGCCCTACAAATTTGTCCAAAAATATTTTTCTGTATCACTTATAGTTTAGCTTGTACGGCAATTCAAAGTGTCAAATTCTTAAAAATTCATTTTCTGACGACTGTAATAACTAAACTATTATTAGAGTTACGTGAAATAATTAAATAGAAAATTTGTTTTTTATTAGATGTTCTGAAATATTTTTACAGTTATAATATCTAAATCATTAATTCTATTACGTAACTCTAATAGTATAAATACTATAATATATAAATAGTATAATATATTACAGTCGTCAGAAAACTGAATTTTTAAGAATTTGACCATTTGAGTGGCTGTACAATCTAAACTATAAGTAATACAAAAAATATTGTTTAACAAACTTGTAGGGAACAAAATTCGTTTTAAGGTTTTCGAGTAGAACGGCAATTTGTGAAGAACTTACAGACTTGCTTAAATGGACATTTTTGAAGATAATTTTATCCTGTATAAAGATTTTAGAACCGAAATTCGAAAAAAATATTCTTATTGTACGAGCAGAAGGAAAAAAGAATAAAACATTGTTTTTTAATGGTTTTTAAAGGGAAATATTTAAAAATGGAATAGCAACGGCTTAAAATAAAGATTAAGAGCTTTGTAATAGCTAAAAAATTTTGTTTTCTAACCGGTTACAAGATTTTTAGGTGGGACCTTGAAAAAAAGTGTCGCTCTAAAATAAAGCACCCTAATATACATAGGTTAGAATAGAAATTTTAAGACATTTTACATTTTAAGAGGCTGCAGTCGTTTAACTATTTGTGATATGAAAAATTTTTTTAAACAAAGTTAGAGGACAAAAAATTCCCTACAAAATTGCCATTAACGTTTTTTTTCTATCATCAATAGTTTAGCAAATAATTACGATTTACTGTTATTTTTATAACATTTTCAATTTAAAGAGCGATTTGTAAAGAAGATATTCGACTTACAGACTCGGCTCAATGGGCTTTTTCGTAGACGATTTAGTCCTTCATAAGATTCCTTGAGCCAAAATTCATAAATAAAATTCCTTCGTGGTGAGCGGAAGATAAAAATGGTAAAAAATGGATTTATAATGTTATTTGAATGGAAAATCTTCAACACTATTGAGCAATGGCTTAAAATCATAATTAATGGCTCAAAAAATGCTCAAATTTTTTGTTTTTGGATCTACTACAAGATTTTGAGGTGGGACTTAAAACAAAAAAATGTTGCTCTAAAATGAAGCACCCTAATATATATGCTACACATAATAAAGTTATAACTATACATAAACATAGTGCGATAAATGTCTCCTAAGTGAGTTAAAGCCCCTGTAAAGCCTCTACATACAGGGTGTCTCAAAATTGGTGGCCCAAAGGGTGAAGATAAATTACTCTTAAAATTCTAAAGTTAATCTTTAAGGATGTCAAAGGGTGTCCCAAAATAGCGCCCCAAATGGTAAAGCCCAGACAAATGTTCTTTTATAATTTTGTCGAATTCACAAAATTTCAGGAGGTATTTCATTTTCAAGGCCGCCCATGAGAGCGCAGTGTTTGCTATATTGACAACACGCATCAAGTTTTTCTTTACTTTTTCCCAGTTATAAAATATCAGTATATTTTGTAAACACAAAAATATAACAAAAACTCGTCCGGTAGGCACTGCGCCGAGCACTGTGCTCTTATTGGTGGCTTTAAAAATTAAATAACTCCTACAATATTGCGAATAATGATTAAGGAAAATTCGCTTGGAATTTCAAAACAAATTTATAATTTTCCTTTGGGTCGCCAACACAAAATACTCAAAAAAGTTTGGTCTCAACCTGTTTGAGTTGCCCATGACCAAAATTCTTAGTAGTTCTACCACATGAAAAATGACAATCTTTCTTTAACACCCTGTATATATATCCAAACAAAATATTTTTTGTTAAAAATAAAATGTTTTATGTCGAAGAAAACATTGCCTGTTCTACTAAAAACCTTTTAAAATTTATATTAAAACGGATTAAATATATATATATATATAATAATTATAATTGAGTAAAAAAATACTACATGTAATCCTATAAGCATATTACATTTAAACCCTTTACAAAAGGTTTAAAATTAATAAACTTATATTATAGATTGCAAAGTATTTAATTCTATTATTTATTTTTTTATTTTATTGGCCTTATGGCGTTGATGATTTTTTTAAAAGTCTTGTATTTGTTTATTTGTACCTAGTTTTCTTACATTTGTTTGTTAGTAGTTATTTTGAATATTTATATATACATTTTTGGACGTGTTCAACATTGTAAACATTGCAATCTCTATTCTATTCTATTTTTAATTTATAAATTTGTTATATTTGTTTAACAATATTATTTGTATAATATAATGTTAAGAATTAAATATTTCTGACCAACTTCATTACATTTCATAGAAATCTAAAACCAGTTTTATAAAAATCTTTAACATCCTGTATATAAAAAATATGCTTCTACATTAACATGTACATCACCATAATAATCATACAACATTTATATAAATTTTAATAAATATAACAAACTTTATATACAAAACTGTTCAAAATTTTTTATATGGGAGAAATATTGATAATAATTAATATTTTATATTACAATATCAATATAAATTTTGTACTCTATGTTTTTGCTTAATTTAAGAACCTTTCAGTTTATTTTAAAGCTGAATAAATAATAAGCTTAATATTTAATAAGTTTATAAACTGGGATATCAAACTTTATTGATATTGATTCGATTACGTTTTGATCCAATTACCTACCTACCTACAGGGCTTAATATTAAGATATTAAGCAACAACTTTTTTATTTGTAAGACAGAACATTGTTTTATTTTTAAAATTCTTCCTGAGTTGTTTATGTTCTAAAAATTAATTTACAATGAAACAAAGTTTTAATTAAACGCTCACAAACATAAAAATAAAAGTAGTTCCAGGTATCATAAACCTTAAAAGCGTAATAAAAAAAAGTTGTAATGGACTATTTCGAACTGTTTTAACGAAGCTTTGCTTAATAAGTCATGCATGTATTCTTTAAAAGATAAAAAAATAAATAAATTATTCGGACATTGTTTCAATGGACGGGCACTATTTAATATTGCAGACTTTTGTCGACCTATTTAGAACCAAGAAAATGACCCTGAAGCCAAACTTTCTATTTAAGAAAATGTTTTTTAGTGTAATAGAATTTTAAACTTGATAAAACAAATATAATTTTACCAAATAAAGTGAAATCTAAACTTTTCTGAACAATGGCGAAACGAAACTTTTTCGAGCTTAAAGGTGTTTTTTAAGATTGATGTTAAGTAATGATTGGCAAGTTATTATAAAATTGATAATATAAAGCGTACCTAAGTATATTTTACAAGTTATTTTTAAAATCGGTCTTTAATTACGTGATTTTTTATTTTTTAAATAATAGATCAACTGAAGACC